CAGTCTCATGAAACTTGGGTTTTATCAAGAAGGATCCATGTTTCTGTTTGCTCAGGACATTCCCAGTTTGTCTTTGTGGTCCAGGTGTAATTATTAATACCACCTCCTTTCACTCCCAAACATGTTCCAATTTGGATGATAATCTACCTATCTGATTTTTTATTTTGTTTTGTTAACGCCTATCTGTTTTTAAAAATTAATTATGTACAGCAGGTATGCTAGCATGCAACTGGTTTTAATTTAATAATGAAGCTACTGGTGTACACAATATCCACCCTTTAGTAAGCTTCCATTACACACGGTCTTCTAAAACTGTTTAGTCACATTTTCCACAACTGATGAATGGAAATCAACCTACAGATTTATGAATTCCAAATCTCCCTGAAAATCTTTATATTCTACATCATGTTCCTAAATGTCATATTTTACTTTCTGACTTCAGATTTAAATGCATTATGTTGAATAATTATAAAACTCAGTCATCTAATGGACTATCTGAAAAATGTGTCTTCTTACATTTAAGAATGTATTGTAGATTAATATTCAGTTAAATGGATGTAGAATATCCTGTTCAAGGGCGGAGAATATATAACTTTATAATCAGTGGATAGCCTTCTGGTTCTGACCAATCATCTCTCCTATTCATTTTCTTCATAAATGAAGAAACTAAGTCAGGAACATGACCTTTCCCATATGCTTCGTTAATGGAAAGTGCTTAGTACAGTCCTGAACACATGCTAGAGGCTAAAAAAGGTTACTATTAATTTTATCATAATGAAGCTGGCAGGACAGTTCCTCTTAGGGTGAGAACCTCATTGATTGTTGTTTTTTGAACCCCTGAATGGGTCGTTTGGACATAAAAGGATAGGTCTGAAACCTGGTCTTAAAGTTTCACAAGATAAAGGGAGGGCTGACTGTGCTACCACAGAAGATGAGAGAAAGGGGTGAGGACTCTGCAGATGGTGGAAAAGAGGGAGGTGGAGAGGAGAGGGCTCACGAAGGGGCTGGGATAGGCACCAGCGGAAAGTCCAACCAGTGAGAGCTCCTGAGTGGTGGGGAGGCTCCAGGGCTGAAGAACAAGGATATCCAACACTGGGTTTTAAGTTCATCGCTTTGCTTTGTTGGGCTATAGCTGTCCTTCCTCTGTTTCCAACAACCTTCCAGGTGAGCCCCATTCTGTAGCCTGAAGAAGTATATAAACGAACATTCTCATCAGCTGGATCCCATTCTTAGAAACAAAGGTGATTTGATTTGAGAGTCCCCATTTTCCTGTCAGAAATTTTAGGGTGTAAAATCAGACTGCCCAAGTAAAAGGGATCAGAAGGATAGCCTCTTAAGGTGGTTATTTACTGTTAGAGGAAAGCTTTCAAAATGTTAAAACTGACTCTCACACAGTATATATGAACGTGTGCCAAAGATTTCATTTAACTCATTAATGAAAGAGAACCAACAGGTCTTCCACTGACTCGAAGGAGAATCTGAAGGACAGACATACACAGTCATGAATGCTGACATGAGTTGCTAGTAGATGCAAAACTGAAGCAAGTTTGCTGTTAGTACTTGTTAGGTACTGGGATTTATTACTAAATTAATACCTATGGGTCCTAAAGGATCATGTTTGGAACCCTCTTTTCTGCAGAGTGGAAAGTAATTGCAACTCTATATGAAAAAAAAATGGTTTGCATTTCCATGGACAACAATCATTTGCATTACTGTCAGTCTTCTGTAGTTTATAAATGCCAACTCTGAAGGATCTGCTAGGCAATGCTGGCATTCAATTGAAAGGTACTAAGTATTCTCTTGCCATTTCAAAGTCTTTCACTATTTTTTTTTCTGACAATCTTAATCCACAAAATGAGAATGAGCCTACATTTGAGGTTATTCTCAGGATTTCAGATATGTCTAAATTGCCCGGCACTGACTGGGGACTCAATCACTAATGGCTATTATTATGACGAAGTCATGGTGGGATGAGTTAACTTTGGGGGCATTGATGAATGGACACCATTATAAGGCAGGTGCAGTTTGGCACCCAACAGCTCCTCTATTGCAGACTTTGTCATTTAGATGGTGGCTTTATAATTTTAGTCTATCTGCTATCACTGTTACACACTTGGCTGGGGAATCAGTACAGATTTTCCTCTTGATGGCACTGCAGTCAGCCCTAAAAGCCTCTAAGAAATGCCTAATTCTGTTTCTTCTTTATAAATATCTTCAGTAAATTAAATACTGAATCATCAGCATTAGTTTTACTCAGCACTCATATGCCCAATTCATTGTTTACAGAATAAAGCTTTTAGTAGCAACTATGAAAAGCTAAATGATAATAGAGACAGATTTGCAGCTGCTTGAACAAATCTATCCCAAGAGTGCCCGTTAACAGTCAGTGTCCATCTCAAGAGAGTGCTCAGAGTGGTCTGAGCAATGACTTGTCCATGCATCTTTCCTGATCGATCTTAGTTCTCAGATTTCAGTAAAGATATAATAATTTTGCAGCTGACACAATGCACAGAAGAATAATCAATAAGATGGATGACATTCAAAGTTCAGAATTATTTCTGTTGTAGATGAAAGCCAAAAAACTGAAATGTAAAAAAAGATAAATATAAGGTCCTGCACTCAGGTTCAATAAATCAATTACACAAACGTAGGAATCCATCACCGCAGGCCATCAGAACAGCTCGTGTAGAAAGATGAAGCAGGTTTTAGGTGATCCTGCTAATGGAAAACTCAACATGAAGCTACTGTGTGAAGCAGCTACTAACATAGTTTATGTAAATGAATCTTTGTTAGTAGAACAGAAGACAACATCTGGATCACAGGAAGTAATAGTCCGGGTCAGGAAGAGCCACAATTTACATATGGGTTTCAATTAGGGATGTCAGATTTTAAGAAGAGCATGGATGAATCTGAGAAAATCCAAAAGAGCCTGAATGGTGGGCAGTGTGAAAATCAATTCATATGAAGAACATCTGAAAAAACTGGGAGTGCTGAGTTCTCAGGAGACTATTCCAAGTGGTGACGTTCATTAAAAAACAAAACAAAACAAAACAAAACTTTACTGGCTGATACGCAGAACTAAAAGATGTGTTCAATGCTTTTCCAAAAAGAAGACCCAGCACCAATACATAGAAGTTACAGGGAGGCACACACTATTGGCCCAACAATTAGAGCTGATTAGAGATGTCATCAGACATGATGTGAAATAGTGAGCTTTCCTCTCTGGAAATACCAGAGACTGGATGACCACTGGAAGGGATGGAACAGCAGGGGCTCTTACATGGACAGGAGGCTGGGTGAGATGCTGATTGAGGGTCCAGTCCTGTTCTAAGACTATGTAACTGTTGAGTAAATCAATGTACTTGAATCAGTCTTGAAGGACTAGCTAATTATTGCTCTTGTTTTTGTTACAATAGAATAGAAATCAGTGCTTCCTCACAGAGGGAAGACCCTGTGAAGACACAGGGAGGAGAAGACAGCCAACTACAAACCAAGAGGAGAGGTCTTAGAAGAAATCAAGCCTGCTAACACCTTGATCTGGGACTTCTAGCTTCCAGAGCTGTGTGAAATTGCTGTTGTTTAAGCCACCCAGTCTGTGGTACTTTGTTACGGCAAACCTGGCAAACCAGTACCGATTTTCCCCACTTCCCCTGACTGAAGTGATCTGGATGAGATTTATCCGCCTAAGCCAGGAAACACTCTTATCTATAAAGGGTTAATAAAAAACCACTTTCCTCAAAACTCAAGACTCCCCGTGATGATCCAATAATTCCACTTCTGGATATTTATCCAAAGGAAACAAAAACACTAACTCAGAAAGATATATGCACCCCCATGTTCACTGCAGCCAAGATATGGAAACAACCTAAACGTCCATCAATGGATGAATGGATAAAGAAAATGTGGTGTGCATATATATGGTCCTTGAGGGCATTATGCTAAGTGAAATAAGCCAGACAGAGAAAAATAAATACTGTATGATCTCACGCTCATATGGAATCTGAAGAAACAATCCCCCCAAAGACCTGAGCTCATAGATTAAGAGAATAGATTGGTGGTTGCCAGAGGCAGGGGGTGGGGAATGGGCAGAATGGGTGAAAGGAGTCAAAAGATACAAACTTCTAGTTATAAAATAAAAAAGTCATGGGGGTGTAACATACAGCATGATGACTATACTTAACAACACTGTATTGTATATTTGAAAGCTGCCAAGAGAGTAAATCTTAACAGTTCTCACTATAAGAAAACAATTTGTGAGTATATGTAGTGATGGATATTAACCAGACTTATTGTGGTGATTATTTCACAATATATACACGATACATCAAGTCATTATCTTGTGCACCTAAAACTAAAATAATGTTACATGTCAATTGTATCTCAGTTAAAAAAAAAGAAAAAACTCCCCGTATGCAGGCAGCAACAAAACAAGCGATGCATTCCCATCTGCAGCAATCCCAGCCCAGCTCAGAGAAGACTGATGGAAATCAGTGAGGAACACTTTGGATAGGAGTGTTTGGTGCCACCTTCCCCCTCACTTATTAACTCATTTGCCTCAAGCAGGCCTGACTACTAGCTAAGGTGGTTGCTTTTTAGGTCATGGGAAGAATGAGTTCATTCTATTGTTATTTTCCTCTTCATGCTCCTTTGTCTTTTTCAAATTTTCTACTTAGACTCTGAACCAAAAAAAAAAAGAAATTAAAAAAAAGTTAAAGTAATCTGAGTCATCAAAACAAAGCATGCGTCTTTTTTCTTGAAGTGGTTTTGTGTTCAGAAGAAGTCAACAAAAAAGCATCGAGAATGAGGGTAAGCTTCAAAACAAATGATTAAGATCACTGTTCCCTCAGTAGAAACATTTTTTCAACAATCACTTTTATGCTTTCTCCATTTTATACCTCTTCTGCTAGCTTATAGACATTTGGGGAACATAAGTGGAGGGATTTTACCAAAGAGCTCATCACTGAAACATTAGTTTTCATTACAATGACTACATGAATTACCTTCATGTCCACTGACGGGTCCCCCTGCAGCAGTGTCCACTCATACTGGACGATGGCATGGTCATCTGTGCTCTCACGGCCATCCAGAATCACCCCATCTGTGGGCAGGTGCAAAACCACATCCTGCCCGGCCTTGCTAAGCGGAGGCTCGTCCTTTTCTGTGAAAGAAAATAATCACAAGAGAGATTATTTCCTATTTTTTTCTAACTTATTAAGAGAGGTATCTGTTTGCTAGCATAGATACAGCCCAGCAAAAGAACTAGCAAGAAAATGTACAGCAAGTGCAAGTTATTTTCTTAATTATTTCATTGTATTCTCTTCACATAATAAACAATAAAATATACTATGAATATAGAATTTAGTGATAATACATGCAGAAGAGGAGGTGTGGGGTGTTAGCTATTAGCAGTAGCAAGGACAAAGTTGTGGGTACAAGACAGTACTAGGCCCTTCAATCTGGAGGAGTAGTTTTATTCTCTAGAATGAAATTTTCACTTAATTTATAAATAAGTTAAGTTCAAATGAATTAAATGAATTTATTTAAAAGAGATTTTGAAACAAACCTCCCCAAAATTTACCTCTGATGTAGATTTTCTTTTTTTCTTATCTTCAAGTTTTTAAAATATAAATAATATAAAGTGTTCAAGGAAAAGGAAATAAATTAAATTTTGGAAAGTTAAGGCAAGCTCTGGGATACACACAAAATAAAATCCAGATAGAAATTCTCTGGAATCCAACTTCTCATCGATGAAAATAAAAGAGGTTCATAGCTTCTAATAATTTTTTTAACAGAAGCTGGCAAAGAGTTTCTGAGATACCCTAAAATAGCAAACAGGGATATATTTACCTTTGATCATTAATGGTACTAAATAATATTTGGTGTTCACTAAATAGTAATATTTAACTCACATCTACTTAAGTGATGACTCATAGAAGCTATCAGATACAGAAAGCATTTCTAAGAGCAAAGTTGTGAATATTTTAATTGATTTAAGCATCTTACCCAAATGCACATATATTTGAAAGAAATGTAGTAATGTAATGTAGCTGGGGAAAAAAAAAAACTCTACAGGTTTTTTAATGCATCCTTTTTGGCTTGCACTATTTCCTCCCTCCTCCAGCGCCAAAGCTCTGGTCCAAATTCTGGCTCAGACTAGTTCTTCCTTAGTTTATTCTGAATGATGTTGCGCAAGACACTGCTTTCTTCTCATGCAGCCAAAGTTTCCTCCCAAGTAAACTTCTAAGGGTCAATAAGATGCCCAGTGAATGATTTGGGGTTAGCAACAATCCTATTAGTTTCTCATTAGGCAACAAAGGGTAGTCACTGCAGTTGGATGACTCTTCTGGAATGATAATCTGATTGGGTCATTTCCTTGCTTCAGGGGATGTCCAGAGACCTACCTGACCTACCTGTGCAGCCCTATCTCGTCATCTAGTGCTCCTCTCAAGTCCCAGTGCCAGGATTTATGTCAGGAGGGGCTTGCAGCTCTTAGAGCTGTGGCTTTTCTGAATGAGAGTGCCGCTGCCAGCCTTAAAGACAGATGACTTTTTTTTTAATGAGCAAGTTTACAAGGAATAAGCACACTTCCTTGCCAAAGAGTACACATACCTATCGAGAAGGTAAGTCCCATTTTTACAGTTACTGAAAACAATGAGGACCGGTAACTCTGAATTGAATAACCCACATAAGCAACCCCTGCTTTAGAAGAAATTTGATCTGCCTTTTTACACCTGAGCAAAGATCCAATGCTTAATGTCTTTATTCTACTTCTCCTAGGTAAGGAGAGAGATGGCAATTACATTACTAATAGGCCCTTTTACAGTTTTACAGAGAACTTTCCTTCGCTTCTGGAAGGTTCTCACTTTCCACACAATGGTTTACCACTACAATTCTGGAATCTTATAATTCAGCAGTGATACATTATAGTTAGCAGCTATCTGCATTAAAACTTATTTTAAAATACCATTTTTAAGTAGACAAACTAAAATATACCTATATGATATAAATAGCAATGACACTAATAACATATTTTTAGGTCCTCAAAGATTTAACCAAAAATATTTAAGATGGAAAAATCAGGTAGGTAGTCTCTGAAATATCCCACATATTATAAAACTAATTAATCCTGGCCCTCCTGGAAGAAAAAACTCATCACTTTAGTCATTTACTTTTCTTTAGGTAAGCCTTAAGGTGTGATTTATGAACACAGTGAAATCCTCATGCTCTCTAAATTGGTCCCTGTCGTATTTGAAATAACAGAGCTACATTTCCTCCTCAGTTTGAGTCCAGGCAAATTACACTGTATAATGGATTTTAAAATAAGCCAGAGCTTATCTACCCAGAAACAGGCCTTAGAAATAAACAAATGACAACAAGAAGAGGAAATGGTGTGCTATCATTAAACAATTTGTGATGAAAAACAAGATAAATGTAACTTTGAATTTTCATTGTAAAAATATAATAAACCAACATTAAGTACTATAGAAACATCGACTTCCTTTGAAATCTGAGCACACTTGATAAACTCCACAGAGGTGAAATAAAACTCATTCCAATTCTGATGGAGCACATCAAGGTGGCACTTTATACAGAGAAAGATATTGTTAACTACTCTAATTTACAACACTGCTCTGAACAGAGGCTTAACAACAAGAAAGAGGTCTGTAATTTGGGTTTTACCTTGTAGGCACAAATGATACAGACAAGGCTGAGGATACAGAAGTGGGGCCAGACTAAAGGCAGGAGGCTTAGGTATTATGGGTCAAAATCCATGTTGGTTTTTCTGTTTGTTTGCTTTTGTGTTTTTTTTTTTTCATTGTATTTTTCTTAATAGCAACAATTTTGGAAAAAATTACTCACAACCCCAATATGGTTGTCTTCATTTTTGGTGTGTACTGTTCTAGTCTTTCTCCTTCTAAGCAGCTGATAGTAATTAACAGCTACCGTTTATTGGGTGATTTCTTTGTACCAGGCAGTGTTTTTGAGCCACGGTTTTGCTCAACTTTCAACAGCCTCTGAGGCAGGGACTGTCATCTGCCTCACACTCATTAGGAAACTAGGGTCGGAGAGGCTAGCTTAGTTGCATAAGATCACACAAGTGATAAATTTGTTAGTCCAAATGTCAGCCCAGATCTGTCTAACTGAAAAGTTCTGTCCTTCCCACTGTACTTGGGGGGCATCAGATGTGTATTCTGGTTTTAAATAGTAAATATAAAGATACATCCTGAATTTAACCTACTAACTTATTAATATATTCTATTTATTGATATTTATTCATATATCCCAGTATTGCCAGTGTCACTGTATAAACTTCACAGTTGTCATAACAGTTTCTTAACCTCTACTATTGGACATTTTACTTCATTACCACTTTTTTTCACCATTATTAATAATGCCATAATAAACTTCTTTGCTCATACTTTTCCTTTAGCATGGTTTTCCTAAAAAAAAAGTACTTCAGGAGAATGAGTATTTTAATGGTCTCTGCTATCTTCTCTGATTTCCAAAAAAGTGGTATTAATTTACACTTTCAGTGACCATGTAAGATTATATTAAGTTCTCCATTAGCATGCCAATGTAAACGTAAACTTCAGAGTAAACTTATTGCCAATTTAATCAGTATAAGCTGGTATTATTTGCATCTTGATTACTTCAAAGGTTGAACATTTTTTCATAATTATCAACTACATGTCCTCTTTTGGGAACTGTGTTCATATCCTTTGCTCATTTCTGTTTGTTTTTCCTCCTGATTCACATAAGCTTTCTATTAATATAATAAATGCTTTAATCTCATATTTTCTCAGACTCATTTGCAATTCCTTTTGTTTCTTGACATAATGTTCTAAAAAATGTGTATATAACACATCCTTTCTCTTTGTGATCTCTTGATTAGAAAGTTATCTTCCCCCATATGTGTAAAAGCAAGTTTATTTCCTTCAAATCTTCCTATGTATGGAGTAACCTATGGTGTAACTTAAAAAAAAAATTTCATTCTTTAACCCAACTGGAATTCATTTGTGTGTGATCAGAGTTGCAGGTCTAAATGTATTTTCCCCACCATTCCCACCAGTTATCTCAATATCTTATTAAGCACAATTGTTTGCTACTCTTCTATGACGTTTATTTATAACACAAAAGGGAGAGGTTGAAAATGTGAGAAATGTGAGATAGGTCGAGCACATGTGGAGAGATTAGTCTTGAACCTTCCTAAATCAACTCCTTCCTCTGTACTTGGGGGTGGCAGTGTGTGGGTTTGCAGAGGGGAGGACAGAGCACTGCCTGAAAACTCTGATTTTTTTCCTAACACAGAAAGAGTCCTGACTTCTCAAATTACAGAGGGTCTACCCAGAGATCCCAGTATTCAAGCTGAATGTCCAGTGGAAACAGCATAGAGGTTCTGGTCCATGAGCCCTTGGAAACTATTCTCAGGTTCCTCTGGGGTCCTAACCACTCCAGTCTCTTCCTCCTGCTGTTCTTCACATTCATCGGAGAACCCAGTCGCCAACCTTTCCAGTCAGCCACGCAACCCAACCAGGGTCATATAACAACGTCATGTACATGCATGCCACCTTTATAATTCACAAAGCACGTCCATCGTTGATCCTCACAGCAGCCTGGCTGGAAGGCAAGGAAAGCACTCAAGGCCCAAGAGGATTAGCAGGGACCCTCTGGTGGAAAAGCTGGCTCGCAGACCCAGGTCTCAGGGCTTCAAGCCCTCTACTCTGATCTTTGCACACACTGCAGGCAGATGCTGTCATTTCAACACACCTCTCTCCAGCATCCTCCACTCATTCCCACATTCTCCCACCACCCCTACGGCCACCAACTCAGTCCCAGCGTGGAAACCCAACCATGGATGTGTCTGCTTCCAGGTGGCCTGGTGCTGCTGGAGAAAGCACTCAAGCTGCTCCAGAACACAGCTCACAACTCACATAACACAACACACATAACACAGCTCACTACTCTCACAACCTCACAACACAGCTCACAACTCACAAAACAGCTCCACAACTCAAGTGCTACGAGACCCTCCAGAAAGTTACTTTCTGTCACTAAGCCTTTGAGTACAGTGGGGATTATAATAAGAATCCAGATTTTGAGGTGTTTTGAGGACAGAGTTCATGTGTCTAAGGAGCTTATAACGGTGCCAAACTCAATAAAGGTGGCAACAAACAGGGCTGACGGGACCCGCTATAAATTTGTGCTAGCCCATCTCACCTGGCCCCTCACCATTTCCTCATGATCTTCCCATTCCCCTCAGTCCCCTAACAGATTCTCTGCAAGAGATTTTCTAAACCGTTTTCTTGCTACTTTAGCCTTAAACTTCACCTGCTCACAAGATTCAAAAAAAGAAAGAAAACAAAAACACTCAAGAAGGAAAAACTTAGTCTCAGAAGCACAAAGAACTTCAAGAGGTTAAGGGTCTGGGCAGGGAAAACGCAGAACACTTGGCTAGGGTAACCTCTGCCTGCAGACAGAATGAGGGTGCTCTGGGTCTGAGCTGCACGCTTCGACGTATCCATACCACTGGGGATCTAAGTGTGAGCAAGGCAGTGTTTTTCCAGAATAAGGACCAAGCCCAGTGGCCATTTATACGTACACTTGACCATCTAGAAAACTGAATTTCCAGACAAACTCTCCCCAATGAAGGGAAGGGCTAAAAAGAAAGTGGAAGAAAAAATGACTCAGAATCTTCTACTAGTAAACTGAACTTCCCGCCCCCCACAGGCATATTCTTCCCTTATTTACTTTCCTTTTGGTTTCCCCTGGCTTATAGGAGCTCTCCCTTTTGGCAATGTCGGTTTCTTCCAGATGGGCAGTGAGAAAAAGGGAAAGGGATTTTGCTTCTTTGTGGCTGGGATTTTTGAGTTCCTGTTTGGGCAGAGGAAAGGGGTGTGTGTGTGTGTGTGTGTGTGTGTGTGTGTGTGTGTGTGTGTGTGTGTGTGTGTGTGTGTGTAACAGCCATGGGTGTGCTCAGGGATGCTGGTAGGGGTCCCAGTGAAAGTGCCTCCTGCCTCCACTTCAGGGAGAAAACTCTGGGGTCCTTCCCAGGGTCTGCGTCAAGGCTGAGCAGTCTTAGGGTGACCTTTTAATGTTTATTCCCCTGGAGGTAGGTAGTGAGGTGGGCCATTGTAGACATAGATTTCCAGATCCTTCTCTTTAGACCCAAAGGTCATGGAAAGTCCAGATGTCCAAAGTGGTTGAGGCTCTGCCCATCTAATCTTGTTATGGTTTCACTCTTATGTTATTACAAAGTAAACAGCAACAGAGTGCAATCAAATACACTGAGCTGACCACAAGCAGGCCCAATCAAGGTTTTATTCCCTCAGTGACCTTAATCTCCAGCTGTTACAATTTTTGTGTGTCTCCAGTATGTGTCTTGATTCTCATTCTGAGCATCCTTAGAAAGTAAAACTATAGAATGCAAAGCATCGTTTTAAGCTCCTTTTCAAAAGGTGCCTTAAGCTTTCTTATTTTCAACTAATCAAGTCCCTTCTTTTCCCTCTTTACAAAAGAAAAGCGTACTTCATGGGAATCAGTTGGATCTACCTCAAAATAACCTGACACATGTCTCTTCCCATTTATGTCTGATGAAAGCAACTATAGGTGGAATCATAGGGCGAGAGCCAAGCTAAGAAATCAGGGTGTGCTATGAGCAGCCTGGCATCTAATTAGATTTTGCTCTTGCAATTACTTGACACAAACCATGCCTTATAAGAATCTTTGAGAATAAAATAAACTTTTTGTTTCCTGAACTTTTCTTCTCCTTTAAATCCGTGAATCCTCTCAGATCAGCCTCCTTCCCTAAGCTTAGAAAAATTCCAGAAGCAGCCTACCGTGCCTACTTCTGCCCAGTCTACTGGGGTTTCTCCAAAAACATCCCTAGGGTGAGAAATCAAAGCCACTCCTTTACATGCCTGCAAGTAAGCCAGTTAACTTGGATCGAGGGTGTTTCTTTTCTGACTCGGCTGAGGAGGTACCAGGTCTCCTGCCTAGGCGGGTCTCCCAGATGCTGCTACCAATAGGTCCAAGGACAGCGACTGCAGGACCCAAGTGGCCTGGCCCCAGCCTTCTCCAGTGGCGCGCTTACCCAGCCGAAGCTCGGCTCGGCCGGTGGCCAGGGCGCCAGCTTCCAGGCCTTCCTGCTCGCCCTCCGGGACCCGGCTCAGGCTGTAGCTGCTGTAGCCGCGGTGCAGCGCGAACTTGCAGACGC